GTCGGTGATCGCCTTGATCTTTTCGGACTCAGGGCTTACGCCGTGTTTACCCACGATATTCGCTAGCGCAAACATACGCTTCTTGAGGTTGGCGTACAACTTATGCTTACGCATAAGTTGAAGAACCTGACGAACATGTGTTCTGTGAACTTCCACGTCCGTCTTTCCGTTCATAGACCGGCTATGGACGAACACATCGTCGAAGTAACTCGGTGAAAAATGCCGCACCGGTCTCAACAGATTTGAGACACGTCTGTTAATTGTTGCAGGGGAGTTACTCATCCCCTGTGGCATCACTAGCATCTCGCACAGAATACCGCTGGGAGTGCTCACTGCTGTGTACGGGGTGTCCCGTTCACGCATGAGGATCGGATAGAATCCGTCCATCAGATCCATGTACGAGAAGATGGTACTCATTGACACACCATCTGTGATTACGTCTTTCCTCGGTATCGGCGTCTGTGCCAGTGCCGTTGCATCATTCAACTTGTTGCATGCGTGCACTATCCGCCATCCTCCTGTGTCCTCTCGCACACAGAAGGTCGGAGAGCTGTGAGAAGAAGTTGATTTCCTCACATGGCCCGCTGCAAATCGATCGGGAAAGAACTTGTTAATCGCTAGTACTTGTTCACGAGGCATTGCCCACTGCTTCATGACACAGTACTTCGAGCCCGGTTTGAACTCGATCTCGTGTCGAGTGCCTTTGGCATTAGGCGACTCGCATGGTACGGATTCAGGGAACACATCCCTGAATTCGATCAAATCCTTATACAAAGACTTTGTCTGGAGCGACTCCAAGGATTGAGACATTTATCGCTCAATCCGAGTCTTCTCATCGAGGACACTTTCGTCCATCGATGAGCTACTGAGAACCCGTTTGTATTCATTGAACACGGTTGAACTCTCGAATTTTCCGGCTGAAGAGCAGAAGTGCAACTTCGAGAACGTGATTGGCTGACATCTGAGAGTGCGAGGAGGGCTTTCGTCAATCAAGTCGGTGTTTCCTGCATGACAGAAGCACGCAGTCGGGGCGAGCATGATCGCCGCCCACACGGGCAAGGAGGCGGGGCGCTAGGTGGCTAGAGCGCACGAAGCGGGGAAGGAGAAAAGGGCAGCGTGCTAGAAGGCGCGGTGGCGACTGCGATCTCCCCACGTGACTCTCATACTGCAGACGGGCAGCTCGGATCTGGTGGCAACCAGGCCGGCACCGAACATGCTCCGAAGGAGAACGTTGAAATGGAACAAACTCCGAGCGATATGCCACAGGTGACCCCCAAGACGAGGCTCCCGTGCAGAAGGCAACAGGCGAAGGTGTTGTGGTCCCACCGAAGCCGATCCCAGCGCAGGGAACCTCGAAAAACGCGCAAAAGAAGGACCGGCGTACGAACGTGTGGAAGGGAAAATGCGATCAGCGCGCCCAAATCGGAGAAGGGTGATCAGGCTACGACAGTCATTGACGACGACACTCGCCGACTGTACGAATGCGCGCAACAACAGTGCCGTCTTCGGATGGACGGATTCCAGCGACCGATGACGGAGATCGAGGCTGAGACTCTGGACGCATGGCTTGAAGGCAAGCTCCAGATCGGTGGGGTGCCTGTCTTCCTCAAGGAAACTTACGCGGCAGCGGAACGGGAGGTGTTAAAGTCTACCAGCGCACTCGTCTCGTTCACAAGCTCTTCGCGCGACTGCCAGTCGGACTCATTTTCCTGAGTTCGGTACGCGCGCGAAACTGTATAGCCTGATGTTCGCAGTAGCGGCCAAAATGGAGGCGAAGCGAGTGAAGGCGCTCTTCCTGGCACTGTCGCGCGTCGAGTGCTCGAGCCTCTCGCCGATCGTGGCTTTCGTGTTCGAACCTCGTGCCGCCAGAGACGCATGGGTGACGGCCGACCTCCGAGTGGTCTGCTTCCGACTCCAGCTACTCGTGGCAAATGACCCAAGCACGGTGGACGAGAAGACCGGCTACACAGACGACACGGTCTCGATGCTCTACCAGGTGCACGCGCTCGGCAAGAGTGCATTCTGCCCGGCGGAGATCCGAGCCTGGATCGCAGCCGCGACGTCGACGGCTGTGCTCGCGATCGAGCCGCGCAAAGCCTTCGGTGTGAACTTCTTCAGCGCGCATCGATGGGTAGTCAGCTTTGACTTCTTGAAGTGACCCAAAGATCTTGATCGGAAGCACATCCTTCTCATCACGACAGGGGATACGGCGATCGGCGGTTCGATGCTTCACCCGCGGAAGATAAATCGCTAACCGTGCCAGCGCTGATTCTGTTCCAGTAGCTTTCGGAAGGAATGCGCAACTGCCGACCAGGAGAAGACTTCAGCAAACTTCACGCTGACAGTGACGGCTCCGGCGACGATCCGTGCGACCCTAAGCCCTCATGCGGAGAGCTAGACCAAGGCAGCCGACATCTTTTGCAAGAAGGTGGCGCCTGGACTGGAGGACAGACAGCAATGAAGGCTGGGAAGCGGGAGGAAGATGTACGGCGCAAAAGCGGACTTCCCAAGCGCTAAGTCGACGCGCGAGTGGAAGACAAGTCAGCGGTGACGGCTGAGCTGAACGTGACCGTCGCTCGAAGACACAGGAGGCGGCAAAGAAGATGATAGGGGCCAAGACGGCTGCAGCTCAAGATGCGGCAGCGCAATATGTGGCAGCTCAGGTAGATAAGGGCGCGGCGGCTGCGGCGAAGACAGTGGATCAGAACGTGGTTGCGGCAGCAGCTTGTCAGCCGACGACAGCGCCACCAGCGACGACTGCAACTCAGCAGTAGGATGTCGAGGCAGGAACTGCACCTACGGCGGCAACAGAGGCAGCACTTTCTCAGGACGAGGCGGTCGCGGCGGCGGCCGCGGACAACGTTGCCGCAGCCAAGGCTGCTGGCAAGGCGAGGGAGTCGCTCGCAGCCACGATAAAATTCGATGAGCTAAATGCGTCCAGATCGCCCTCTACTTCGCGCCCGATGGACAGCGAGAGGCCCATGAGCGACGGAGAAGACTCGGACGTGAGCGACAACACGGACGACCTCGCGTTCCCTCCTCCTCCCAGATTGGCGGCCGTCCTTGCGGCTCAAGACGCTGATGCGCGGTCAACCGCGCACGTCTACGTAGCCCCAACAGCCAGCTAGATGCCGAGCATCCAGCGGACACCCAACCCGTCGGGCGGTGAAGTCTGCGAGTGGAACGTAGTAGCGGCGGCTAGACGGGGGGTCCACGACCACGCAGCAAAGCTTGCTGCGACGCGCCGGAACAAATACCGTGCGACGACCCAGCAGCGATCAGTACGCCCGCACCAAGAGACGACCAGGCCGGAGACCATCATCGTCAAGCTGCTGCAGCCTAAGGCTGCTCACGCGCGGCTGACGCAGGACGAGAGTGAATAGCGCAACCACCGCAAGACGGAGAACATCATCGCGGTCGCGAAGTGGCGGATTCAGACGTCGAAAGCGCCATCCCGGCCGACCAAAGGCGATAACTTCCCGAGCTGAAACGAGCATTTCTTCGACAGTCTGTAGAAAGTGATCACGTCCATCCCGCACCCTCTCGTCGAGCTGCACACGTGAAGTCAGACGAAGAGGACGACCTTCGGTCGAACACTGTGTAGCAACGCTCAGCTTGCGCTGATCGTGCACCACGCCACTGACAAGAGCCTGACCAGGCTGCTGCATGCGATTTGCCGGAAGCGGGCGACGGAGGTTTGATCTCTACCCCTCGGCACCAATTGCTGGAACCTGACGAAAGCGACAGCGTGATGGCGCAAGGCGGAGAAGTTTGACAACGGCATGCTCGCGGGGTTACCGAGCCATCTCTCGACGACAAGATCGTCGCGGTGCTTTACCTGATGAGTCTGCTCTGCCCCAGCAGCTTCCCGAAGCAGCCGGACTGTTGTCTTGTCCTCCCTGACACATGCGCTTGGGTCTACGACGACGACAAGATCAGTCGTGTCGCTCACTCTGTACTCCAGAACGAGGCGCTGGTCGAAGGGCTTGGCATCTGCGAGATCAGGCACGACGGCGCCGCACGCCGTTACTAAGAGCATCGCGGCAAATTCACGAGCGCGCTCACAGCACGTTCGAGGACGGCGCACAAGAGGCAGTCGCGGGTCGGCACATGACGTGACATGTGGACTACTCACTCAGAACGTCATGGGGCTGGAAGCCAAACTGGACCGACAGAGCCGCTGGATCGCGCACTTTCGTCAGCAGACACAAGACGGCATGCTGGACATCACATGCCTTCAAGAGACGCTGGTGACTGCGAGTACAACAGCCACGGCTGCAGAGAGGCATCTTTGGTCGTGGGGCTTCGTGGGCGATTGAGTGCAGCAGTTTTCGCTCTGGAGCCCGAGCGAAGGACGGACCGGCGGCGACGCCATCCTCTTACGCCCGTACAGTCGGGTCACGGGCCTTGCGCGCGTTTCGTGAGGCGGACTGGAACTCGCACTGGATCGCGGTGACGGCGATAATCGACGACCGCTAGTTCACGATCATCAACGTGTACGAGCAGGTATAAGTCTCGGAGCGGGGAAACTAGTCAGCTCCCTGAAAAAAGTTTGACCAGTGCTGGCGGCCCAGTGTTCCTGTGTGGAGACTTCAACTGCACGCTCCTCGAGCTCTCGTGATCGGTCGTTCAAGTCGCGGTGGAACAAGCACGACTCGCTCGCGCTTCGTCAACTGCTGCGACGTGGTGCTCTGGGTGACGTTTTGGACGACGACCTCGAGGCCGATGACACGGAGATCGACTGGCGTGCAAAGAACCACACGTACTTCTACAAGAGGTTAGGAGGATGAGAGGCGATCTGTCTTCTAGACAGGTGGTACTCCTCGTCCGACCACGGCGACTGGGTGCGAGCGGTAGGCACGTCGATTCCGGGCCCGTTCTCTGACCACAACAGCGTCGCGATACGTGTCGCGGTACCCGTTCGGTCGGTGCAAATGAAGACGAGGCGGTAAGTGTACCCGCCGCCGAGGTAAGCTACACGAACGTCCGAGGCAGTGACGATGGACGTCTTCACAGGAACGTCGGCGCACCTGGAAGACGTCATCACGGCCGCAGGCACAGCGGTGGACAAAGCACGTGCTGCTGAGGTGTGGTGGGACAACGCGAAGAGCGAGCTGCGAAAGAAGTACGAAACGGTGGCCCAGGACGAGCGACGGAGAGCAACCATCGGAAACCGCTAGCGCCTCAAGCGCTTAAGCGACCGCCTGGAGGGCGCCCTACGCACAGGGTCCGGTGCGGAGGAACAACAAGTGAGCTCTGTGCTGGCGGCTCGGCATGCAGTCGCGGAGTGCAAAGCCGAGTGGAAGCAAAAGAAGCGGCGAGCGCTCTCACGATCACATATGCATCATCCTGCGCGGTCACAGCGGCTCTTCTACCGGTGAGTCTTGACGAAGTTTGTGTACAACACGGTGTACAGTCTCCTAGGCGCAGCGGGACAAGAACGACGACGATCGCGGGAGCTCGCGGAGGACATGCGTGACGTCTGGAAAGTCGTCATATAGCAGGTGCCACCGGAGCGTGACACTGTCACTGACTTCCTCAGCTCGATCCCACCGAGGACGCCCGGCGCCATTATGGCGGCGCTGTACATCGAAGTGTCGGAAGCTGATGTACTGAAGTCCGTCTGGCGGTGCAAGTGCGGAAAGGCGTGGAGTCCGGACGAGCTCGGCAACGACTGGTATCGCGACAACGAGGACAGTCTCGTCCCTCTGCTGGTGCGGCTGTTCAACGTGTGCGTACTCAGCGACATCTTGCCGAGCACCTTCGGTAAGGCGGTGGTAGCGTGCATCAAGAAGTCTAAGAGTGCGGCGCGCCCGCTCGACTATCGCCAGATCTCCCTCCTGAAATCGGACTAAAGATCTTCGCGCGAGTGTTTGCGTCACGACTCCGGTCGATGATGCCGACGCTCTTACATCCGTTGCAGACCGGCTTCGTACCGCGCCGCGAGATGGCGACGGTCGTTGACATATTCGCTGCCGCAAAGATCTGTGCCAGAGACGATTCGGATCTGCGACGCGCGCTTGTGCTGCTCCTGGACTTCTCGAAGGCATACGACTCGCTGTAGTGTGACTTCCTGCTCGCCGCGCTGCGACGGCTCGGTTTCCTGGACACGTTTATGAGCATCATCGCACACTGCACAACGGCACGAGGAGCCGATTCATCGTGGACGGCTACGTGTCCAAGCCGCTGGACGTCATGTGTGGCATCCGACAGGGATGCCCGTTGGCACCTTTGCTGTTCATCTTGGCAGTGGAGCCACTCTACGAGCGGCTCGAGAGAACTCGATGGGGTGTCCGGATCGCTAACAAGTCGGCAGCGATGGCGGTCAAGGTCTGCGGGTACCCCGACGACACGGCTGTCTACGTCCGGTCCCCAGAGGACGTGGCCGAGGTCATGCAGGCTCTGGCGCGGTTTGGCGAGGCTTCTGTGCTTAAGATCAATGCCGCGAAGGCTATGGCTGTGCCGCTTTTTGACGGTGCAACCATCGACCCGGAGCTGCTGCACGACGTTCTACTGCTGCAAGCTGGGGAGCGGTGCCGGTATCTGGGCGTGCTCATTGGAGAGGGGAGTACGGTCAAGGACAGCTGGGACGCGTGTCTCGTCGCGCTGAACTCGCGGCTAGCGCGGGCCCGAAGGAAGACGAATACAGTCCGGAGTCGAGCTGCTACAGCGGCGGTGATCGTCATCCCCAAGGTCACGTTCCTCGCACGACACTCGTGACCGACCCGTGAGGTCGTGTCTTCGCTGTAGAAGCTGGTCAAGCGTTTTGCCTGGGGCTCGAGAAGGCGTTTGACCCGGGCATGGATGAGCGACGCGCGGGCGAAGATGCGTGTGTGCGAAGTGGTGCATCGCTGTGTCTCACGTCGCAACGGAATTGCTCGCAATGTTCGGCACTACAATCCGCAGGTAATTAGCAGGCGCGAACGGTCCGGCGCAGATCGCGGACGACATCCTGCTGGCAGAGCGAGCTGGCGTCGATGAGTACCTGACCCCGGCGCGGCGGGATGCGTCTTTGGGGGACTTCACGGTCGCGGAAATCATGTGGAAGATCGAAGAGGAAGTGGTGTGCGGAGTGCGCGGCGACCCGATCGACTCTACGAATGCCGGATATGTGGCCGTAGCAGCGTCACTGCTCCGGCTGCATCTGTACGCTGCGAACTGGGACGGCGACTGCATGCAGGTTGACGCCAATAGTGATGCTATGCGCATCATCACGCAGGTGTCGAGAGGGAGAAGACTCTTGCGTGGGCCGTTCTGCCACGAGTGGATAGACCGCGTGGGGCTCGACACGCGGCAATGGCTGATCGACAGCAGTGGGAAGCCTGCGAACATCAGTCTGCTGCGACGTAATGACACGTGGGGCACGCTTCGCGACCTCCTTAGCTGCACGTGGATAAGGAACGGCTTGATCAAATTCAAACTGCGGCGGTCCCGCACCCCGTCGGTGCGACGGGCGGTGTCGGATCTGTGGAAGGCGATGGTGTGCAACTATCCCGAGCTCCTAATCCGGCCGCACACGACGATGCACTTGCGGCCGATCGGCGCAGGCGCGTAGATGCACTACTATTGACGCCTAACGGACAGCGCAGATGGCGTCATCTTCTCGGATGCCACGCTTGAACGCCCAGCACAACCGGTCGAGTCGCGCCACGCTTGCGGACGTCGGCAACAAGGACTGTCGTTTTCACGGCCACCCGGCATAGTCGCGGCTCATGTAGCTGCACATGGGCGAGAGATGGAGGCCTAATCGGACGAGGTACAAGGCGGCCGCGGGGATGCAGCGCACGAAGGAAGGCAAGCACGAGCGCGACCGGGAGATCGCTGTGCAATCCGCCAACAACAGCGAACTACAAAGTGCGGCAGCGCAGCTTCTATGGAGTGGCATTCGTACGGTGACGGGAGAGGGTGCCGCCACGGTGCAGACTCTATGCCGCATCAAGGCGAACAATCTCAATCTGTGGAACTACGTGCACAGCGATCGATCGTGCTCGCACAGCGCGTGTCTGCGCGACGATCCCGCTACAATCCGGCACGTCTTCTAGGAGTGCCCGGTAGCGAAGGCGGCGTGGGAAGACTTTGGGAACCGATGGCGGCGACTCGGCGGCAATGTGACGGAGAAACTCATGGAGTCGTGATTCAGCCTGGACATCCCCTACATGCCGACACGCGCGTGGCAGGCAGTCCAAGAACGTCTCGCTGCGGCCGGTGATGAACATCGCGACGTTCTGTTCGAGTTGTCCAGAGACCTCTGGTGGCTTACTGCGGCAACGACGATCCACGCCATCTAATGCGCGCGAATTCGGCTCCGGCACAAGCCGGAAGCGGATCAGTCTACACTGCAGGCGTTGGTCAACGCTTCGGTCGACAACGCATTTCTCTACTTTGTGTCCCTGACGTACAAGTACGACACGGATGAACAGACTGCTCACAAGAGGGCCGTGATGGGTGCACTAGCTGCGCGACTCACGGAGCCAACTGCGGAGCCCATTCGGACGCCGCCGATCAGCAGTCGGAGCCTTCATCTGCTCTCCTTCGACGGAGGCTCACGTCGCAACCCGGGACCAAGAGGCTCCGGTTCGGCTATGGTGCGCGTCGACACGGACACGCATTCGGTGGAGATCATATGGGTGGCAAGCATATCGTACGTCCGGGCATATACGACTAACAACACGGCGGAGTACTGGGAGCTCATCCACGGGATCCGTCGAGCTGAAGCTGACCAACTCACTCCACTGCATGTGGTAGGAGACAGTGCCATGATCATTCAGCAGATGCGGCGGCTCCGACTGACGCGCCACCACCGACTTCGACCACTCTATTGAAGGCTGGGCGGTGTGCGGACGGATTGTGTATCTGCAGCTGGACGCACCACTACCGCGCACACAACAAGACGTCGGACAGGGCTGCGAACGACGCGATGGAATCGCGAGCGTCGAAGCAGACGTGTGCGCATGAGAACCGTCCGTTCATAGCGGGACTGGAACAGCAGCTGCACAAAGACGTGCATCAGTGGCTGAACTCGACGGTATCACGTGGCCCGAGCCGGCGCACCTCATCGCAGAATGCGCACGGTGGCCCCAGCTGGAAAGAAGAATAATGACCCCCTTGTTTTGTCGGTGTAAGCCCCCAACCAAGACATTAAAGATCTGTTAAGTATCTCAGCAAAGCTCACTCACTCAGTAAACACTGTTGCCGATCGAATATCGACCACATACTCATCCTCTGTGACGAGTATGCAGATCCGCTTGACCTTGCCACTACGTAGATTACGCAGAAGCCATTTCAGTTCGAGCGTTGACAACTGTGTTATCTCCGAAGTTTAATTCGGAGCCACAATCAGATCAAGCGTATAAGCGCCAACGCTTGATCCGTCATTTACCAAGACGTATAATGTCTCGGTGTCTTCCTGGAACCTGATTATACAGGTTGCAGAGAGCTTAATCCCTCAGTATGAGAATCTTGAGGAACTCCTTTCTCAAGCACGTGGGGGCTTATTCCCTCGACGTCTTCTGACTGTGGCTGTGCAACCACAGTCAGGTCTCGATCCTCTACGGTCGACTCTCCAGTCGACCTAGAATGACCGTGTTTCTCTTTGGTAGCAACAGGTTTCTTTCTTCTAGGATGTTGCCCGCTAGGCATACGTCCATGTCCCGGCCACTCGACTTGTTCGAGTGGTGGACCTTCGGCGCTTCCTGTACTTCTGTACAGCCTCCGGGAGCTTGCTCCACAGTGTAGTGATCAGCTACACTGAGGTCTTGTGCAGTCGTACTAACGACCGTACCACAAGTGAGGCTATCGCACCCACTCACCGTACATCAACACGCTTGTGGACGCTCCATGACGTACATCAGATGGTCGTCTGATGAACAAGAGGCAGACATCTTCACGGATCAATGCTGCCAGCTCACTCTTGGATCGTACCTTCTGAGCCAAAGTAATCCCAGGATGACATCAAATTTGTCATCCAGATCTAGTACGATGAAGTCATCATCATACTGTTCGCCCTCTAACGTGTAGTGGATTTTCAATAGACGCTTTTTAACGGTAATCGATGCGCCTGTTGCAAAGCGCACCTTCATCCTCGTTGGATGGATGTCGTGCTCAACGAACTTGAGCCCACGACCCTCTAGAGAATGGCGACGAACAAAGTTTTTCGACGACCCACAGTCAACTAGAGCACGAAGTGACAGATATTCGTCAGATGCAACTTTAAGGCGATGGGTGATATATTATCACCAAGTGCAGAGACACACTACGAGTGTGTATCTGAAGCAACTTTCGTCAAGAGATTTGCGAGTTATCGTGAGGTTTCTAAATCAATAGGGCGCTCCGCCTCTACTGACCCCGACCAATTTTTGATGGCCCGCTTCGCTGTTGCGGTTTCGCAACATGGTTGCTCAACTCATTATAGAATACCTTGGGTAGAACGATTAGAAAATATTAATGTAATTGATCATGAAGGTATAATTAAATTAAATAATTCTACAACTTCAGAAAGAAGAATAGAATTAATGAAAAGTGTAATAAATTATGAAAATATTTAAGATAATTCTTATTTTCTTTTAAGTAATAGTACAAATCAAGTAAGAACCTATTTACATGATTTATTTATCAGATCGTCAAGTCGTTTACCTATTAATGAAGAAAATTAATATAGAGTAGGTAATATTTTTCTTTATACAATATCAAATATGGATAGTGAAGGTGTTAAAATTCGTGTTTTTATTCAATATTTAAGATAAAATATGGTACATTATAATACAAGTCAAATATTAGGATTATTGCAAAGCACTGTACCTATTTGTGATGAATATTTAAATAATGTACGTTTAGCTACTGAAGAACAATTAGAACAACGTACTCTTTTGGGCAATTGGACGACCAGTTCTCTCAGTACTACTAGGTACTGGTTGATGGGCTCTACACTCGCAAACGTAGTTTCTCAACTTCCGGCAGCGATTGCAATTCTACAATCGCTTGTTGTTAGAAGAGCAAGGTACCTTGATCTCAACATAACAGAGGTCCATTGGCTCTGGACCTCCGGTCTCTTGTCGTCTCGGTGGGCGATAAGAGCTCGAGCTAGCATGAGCCTGTTTCATGCCAAAGACTTCCTGTTTCGCAACTGCGATTGCTTGTTCAAGCGTATCCAGATCTAAGCGGAACAGGTGGCTCCTGACGGGCCCTTCTGCGAGCCCTAGCATGAACACCATAAGCAACGTGTGTTCATTTACCGGGTTAGCAGTAGTACTACTGGCAAGGAGTTGTATATGCTGAGCATAAGCGTGCACATCTCGCTCATCTTGCTTAGGTTTCAAAAGCTATGATCGAGCCTTGAACTCGGCCCGTGGCGGTTCAAACGTTTGTTTGAGCCAGGAATTATAGGATTCTAGCAAACCAAAAGAATAGGGGTCGCTCATCTCGAGCCCTAAGGCCCAAATCTTGGTACGTCCTGCCAAGTGAGCTTAATAAAATGTGATTTATATTTGCTCATCGTCGATACGACGTGCCTTTATGGCTCTGTCTAATTCGACGAACCATAATAACAGGGAGTCTTCCTCGACTTCTTTGTACTTGGAGATGTCAACCTTTAGATTTCGGGACGACGCGTGTGTGTCGTCCCACCCACAGCAGCATTGAATAGCTGCTGTCCCAACATCTCTGTCTGTTGAGCACCGAGTTCGCTCAACTGCTCGGCCTGTTGAGAGCCTTGCTGGTGAAGCAAGAATACCTTTTCTCTTTCGGCGACAAGTTCAGTTTGAATGAACTTGGCTATGGCGGCATGTTGTTGGCCCCTGTCAAGGGACTCTGACATGGCGCAAATGGCGGTTTCGCCGACGTAGAACACATTCATTTTACCTCCCTCCAATCGATGCCACTCAAATATTTGAAGACTTCACGCGTGGCGTGATATCTCTCCTTCGCATCCAACATGTTCATATCGGATGATCTAATTGTGTCGCTGAACGAATCACAAAGTGCTACCAGGTGTAACGGGGCACGTCTTATGTCAATTTAACACAAGGTTGTGTGCACCCGACGCCACGCACACGTAGAGTTAGGAAGCGCATCGAAGTAGGCAGAACTCGAAAGATCTGTCCAAGGGAAAAGTAGAACTGTCATACAATACATGTGTGTTTCATAATAAAGCATCTTTTGTCTTGAGCTAACTATATCAAAATACAATCTCCTATGTTAATTTCTCGTCACTACCCATTGCGCGCGTACAGCAGCGATTAATGGTTAATCTGGATGATGTAATGTGAACATCAACCATCAGGTGAAGCAACCCATCAAAAAACGTTTTTCTTGGTGGTAATATTCCTTCAACCTTACTCCTTACGAGTAATGTCAATTAAACGTTATCGAAATAAATTTTGTATAAATTGACACAAAATAATCATTTTTTTTGTAACGGACTCACTCCGTTATAGTTGGCGCTAACGGACAAACCCTGCTTGTGTATCAGCGAAACATTAGATGCCTGACGAAGACATGCTACGTTAGGCACACAAGTGCACCTTCCTTGTAGTCCGTCGAGCTCGCTGCAGTCAAGCAGAGGTGTTCCATTAGTAATAAATATCACCTTATGTACACGATGCAGCTTTCTTTCTGGGCACCCTCACCGCTCTTTTCATGCAGTGCCTCTCCAAGTGTGCGCCACTTCGAATACCTTTTCTTCCACAATTGGTATTTGTGACGCGATTGACCCGAGCAGCCACTTCTGAGTTGTCTATAATAGGAAATCACAGAGTTCTTCGCCAAAAAGTCTCCATTGCTGCCCTTGATATAGGCGAGATGTATGGCAAAATTCTTCATTACAGCGGCGAAGCGCGCACCAGACGGTCCAATGAGGATGGACGTGTTCGGCTGTTCAACTGCGACGAGCTCTGACGCGAGGAATTTGCTGAAGTTGTTTTTTACTGTCGATATGACCGGTTACGTGTTGACAGGCACAAACGATAGAATGCTCATGTTCATGTGCGTCTTGTTATTTATTTGTACGAACGTTTTGACGCTTATTTGTACTAAATTTGCCTATGTATATTAGCATATGTACACTTCTTAGGCACACTTTTTTAACACAACTTTAATGAGTTTCTTATCGTAAAGATTACTTCGCAATTGTAAATAGCTACACTGCAATAATGTTACGGTTAACAGTTAATAAAGTGAAGCGTTATCCATCCATCATCCAAACGTTAACCATCCACCCCCCCCAAAAAATTAATTTTGATTGGCCATAATCCACCATTCTGATTGGTCAAAGAGAATGAACGCAACTGTAAGAATTTCAACACCCACAAGACACTCATCTTCAAATTGATCATTTTTTTTGTCGAGCTGCTGTTGTCCTTCCATTTTGCCGTAGGATGAAACTTGCCTTGGCGAATTTTCGACGTTACTTTGGACCGAGAAGTTCTGACGAGATGGTGACACGAACGTAGTGGACGGATAACATCTGGCTCTCAATTGACGGTGGCCCGGCGTGTTCAAGCCTTGGTTGATTGCGTTCATCTATTGCTGTTGTTTGTGCGCATCGTTGGGTCCACACGACTGCGTCTGATAACTAATCATCTACTGGAACGAGTTTACTGCACCCATCGACTGACGCGGTACAGAGAATGTCGAAAACCTGTAGGTACCAGACTGACTTGTCGCAGAGAATGCCGACAATTCGTCGCTGCTATTCGTGTCCCGGGATAGTGCTAGAGAGTACTCGAAACTGTGCGCCTGTGAGGATTGAATCGTGAAGTAATTACTTTACATCCCCCTCAACACTGCCGACTTTTGAGCTTGAGTCTCGTGATGCATATTGTCGAAG